TGCCTGCCGCGCGGAGCCGACAAACAGCTGATCAGCTGTTTGTCGGCTCGTGCGCTAGTCTGGACGTTCCCCCTGTCGACATCAAACCTCGTGGGATGAGGTTTACCGGGGCTGCCGACAAAGGGCTTTGATGTCGACAGGGGGAACGTCCAGACTAGCGCACAAGCCGACAAACAGCTTATCAGCTGTTTGTCGGCTCAGCGTGGCAGCCATGTAAATGTAAATGAAGCCGCGATCATTTAAATCGCAGCTTCATTTACCTTTGCTGAACAAACAAATCTACATGCCTCTGCCGACAGAGGCATGTAGTGTAGACGTACCCAATATGAAGAACTGAAGCTGTACTAAATTCTACAGCTAGGAGCCATAGAAATGTTGCTGTCAGTATCTTGAGTAAGCTAGAAGCCTTGCAGCCAAATGTTACTGGAGCATCCACTTCAAGTATTTTGATCTAATTCATTATTGAATGTTTTCAGAGTCATTCATGTTCACACATTTTTGTGAACAAACAGAACTGAATCAAATATAAGTAGCTGAGGCATCACAAAAGGCGTATGAAACAAACTGAGCTGTAATTTTAATCTTTTTAGAAATGTAATATATACAGATTAGATTAAATTTTGGATTTTAATATTATTTAAAAACAGCTAAAGAAGACACCTCTCAACCTACTTTGCCCTACTTCTCAGAGTTTATATTTGTGGATTTGAGCTTTAAGGGAAGAATGAGGAAAATTTGCCCTCCTAGTCCTGTGTAACTCAGCCATCCAAGTGATCACTCTACTATAATGCATTTGAATATGGAAGAACGCAGAATGTATTAACTTTACTCTTTTTTGGGGTCCAAAGTTTATTCCCATTTAAGTCTGTGGCAACTCTCCTGTTGATGTCTGTGTGTGTGCAGGAATGGTGTCTAGAACATATTGCTGCACAGACAGAACTTGAATGAAGACACAACTCATTCTATTTGGATAATTTTTTCAAGTAAATAACTAATTCTGCTGGTTTTGGTAAAGCCCTTGGGACTTGAATGACCTGTTTTTGTGCCTGCGATGTGCTTTTTGCCACAACTACAGGGATGGTTTTTTTCCCCAGAATTTCTGGGTCTTTTCCCTGATTCTGCTTGTCCCACACTCCCTCAATGCTTTTTGAGAATACAATGTTCAGTAAAGTGTAAGTCTTTGAGGATAGTAATGTGTTAATGCAGGCGTTCTCAAACTTTGTAATACTGCGACCCCCCTAAAATTCTAAATGAACTGTGTGACCTCCCACCCTCACTACTCCACAAGTAAAGGGGGAGTTGGGGGCAGCGGGGCTGGCCGGGGGAGATCAGGTGGGGGAACTGGCTGGCGGGAAGCAGGGCTGGCAGTGGCGGGTGGGAGTTGGGGGCAGTGGGGCTACCCGGGGGAGTTCTCAAACTTTGTAATACTGCGACCCCCCTAAAATTCTAAATGAACTGTGTGACCTCCCACCCTCACTACTCCACAAGTAAAGGGGGAGTTGGGGGCAGCGGGGCTGGCCGGGGGAGATCAGGTGGGGGAACTGGCTGGCGGGAAGCAGGGCTGGCAGTGGCGGGTGGGAGTTGGGGGCAGTGGGGCTACCCGGGGGA